AGAAGGATCTTTACTGTCCGTTGATGGGTAAAACAAGAGGAAATAATAAAGAAGAATCCGACGAGGACTAGGAAATATTAGATCGAAAAGCCCTGTGGCAGGTCCGATTGGCCCTCGCCAAATCTGTAGCACACAATATATTAAAGGAGAAGACGACAATGAGGCTTATGAAAGCGCTCGCAACGAAGTACGAGCAACCGTCAGCTGCAAATAATGTGCATCTCGTCAAGACGCTATTCAACCTCAAGATGGCAGAAGGATGTTCCTTCACGATGCATCTCAGTGAGTTCAACATGATTGTTAATCAACTTATCTCAGTCGACATTAAATTTGATGACATAGTGCAGGCCCTATTGATACTATCGCAGTTACCGGATAGTTAGGCAGGTTGCGTAACGCAGGAAAAGAGAAGTTGAAGCTGAAGGAGGTGGTAGCTATGATTCTATCTGAGGAGGTTAGAAGAAAATCGAATGAATTAGAAGGTTCAGGTTTAGCCCTAAGTCTCGACCAGAGAGGCAGAAGCCATAATAGAGGGAACCAAAATAGAAATTGATCGAAGTCGAAGAAGAAAAGATCGAACTCGAAGGTGAGATCTATCAAGGGGAAATGTTAGAACTGCAGCTAGGAGGGTCACATGTCTTCTACCTGTAAAGCACCGATGAAAAATGAGCAGGAGGCTCATATTGTGCAAGATGCGCTGATTCTCTCTATGGATAGCGATTCCGATTCATGGGTTATTGATTCGGGAGCCTTATTCAACGCCACTGCTAATAGAAGGCTATTTTAGAACTATGTAGCAGGGGACTTTGGGAAAGTATACTTGGGGGATAATAAACCCTGTAGTGTCATTGGAAGGGGCGACGTGCAAATACAGTTGAAGGGCTCTAAGTGGTCTCTGAAGAATAACAGACACATACCGAAGTTGAAGAGGAATCTTATTTCGGTAGGTAAGCTTGGAGCAGAAGGCTATGTTATAATTCACCGGAGATTCGTGAAAAATCTCCAATGGTATAATGGTGGTTGCCCGAGGCAACAAGACCGGTACCCTCTACCTAACTTCACACGCGAGTGACACCCTCGCGATTATTGCAGGCAAGGAGAATACAGATCTATGGCATAATAGGCTGGGACACATGAGTGAGAAGGGTATGAAGATTCTATACTCAGAAGGGAAGCTAACCGGCATCGATTCGGTGGAAGTCGGTGTTTGTGAAGACTGCATCTTCGGGAAGCAAAAAAGAGTTAGTTTTCTGAAGGGTGGAAGACTACCTAAAGCTCACAAGCTAGAGCTTATTCATACAGATGTATGTGATCCAGCTAGTGTGTCTTCTCTTGGCGGTTCAGCACTCGAGGAAGGTGTGGGTATACTTCATGAAGCACAAGTCAGAGGTGTTCAACATCTTCAAGAAGTGGAAAGCCATGGTGGAGAATGAGACAGATCTGAAAGTGAAGTGTCTGAGATCAGACAATGATGGAGAATATGAATTGGAGGAGTTCAAAAAGTTCTGTACTCTGAACGGGATTCGTTTGGAGAGGACTACTCCAGGGACGCCACAACAGAATGACATAGCAGAAAGGATGAACAGAACGCTGACAGAGCGTGCGAGGAGCAAGCGTCTACATGTAGGTCTACCTAAAACTTTTGGGCGGATGCGGTGCATACAGCAGCGTACCTGATAAATCACGGACCATCAGTTCCATTGGACTTTGGGATTCCGGAAGAGGTTTGGAGTGGTAAGAAGGTTAATCTCTCACACTTGAGAGTCTTTAGGTGCGTGGCATATGCCCACATCAGTGACCATGTCAGAGACAAGCTGGAAGCTAAGTCACTGAAGTGTACATTCATTGAATACAGTATTAATGAGTTCGGGTATCGTCTTTGGGATGAGAAGAACAAGAAGATCATCAGAAGCCGAGACGTCATATTCAATGAGGAAATGATGTACAAGGACAGGGACAATGCCAATACGGGCCAAAGCAGTGGGAGCAGCACTACGGATGCGGGCGCATCTGAGTACATGAATTTGGAAGAACTTCTAGATGGGGGAGACAATATCAATTGTGACCAAAGAACGGAGGAGACTCCAGGTGCAGAACCGACTACCCAGGGCGAGGAGCTTAGGAGGTCCTCCAGGATACCCAAACCGAATTCCAGGTATCTCTTGTTACTAGATTACCTACTTTTGACAAATAGCGGAGAATCAGAATGCTATGAGGAGGCTATACAAGTGAGCAAATCTCAGCAGTGAGAGCATGCAATGCAAGAAGAGATAGTTTCTCTCCACTCGAACGAGACATGGGTGTTAGCCTAGCTACATGTATAGAAGAAGACCTTACATAACAAGTGGGTTTACCGAGTCAAGAATGAGAGTGATGGAAGGAAGAGATACAAGGCCAGATTAGTCGTGAAGGGGTTTTAACAGCGGGAAGGAGTGGATTATACGGAGATATTTTCTCCCGTTGTGAAGCTCACAACCATCAGGGTGGTGTTGAGCTTGGTAGCTGCTGAAAATCTCTACCTTGAGCAGTTAGATGTGAAGACTGCCTTTCTTCATGGTGACTTGGATGAAAAAATCTACATGAAGCAGCCTATTGGTTTCATTGAGGAAGGAAAGGAAGAGATGGTGTGTAGGCTCAAGAAGAGCTTATACGGATTGAAACAGGCTCCACGACAGCGGTATAAGAAGTTTGATAACTCCATACAGAGCAATGGCTATGGAAAATGCAATTCAGATCATTGTTGTTACTTCAAGAGGTTCGGGTCCAGCTATATCGTGTTATTGCTGTATGTTGATGAGATGTTAGTTGCAGGATCGTGTTTACAGGAGATAAACAAGCTGAAGAAGCAGTTAGCAAAGGAGTTTGCCATGAAAGATTTGGGTGCAGCAAAGCAGATTCTTAGGATGCAGATCAGCCGAGATGCGGCTGAGGGGACGTTGAAGTTAAGCCAGTCTGAATACATTAAGAAAGTACTTCAGAGATTCAACATGCAGAATGCTAAGGTCGTTAGCACGTCCCTTAGAAGCCAGTTCAAGTTGTCTGTTGAACAATCGCCCAAGACTGATGCATAGAAAGAGCACATGCGGAAGATGTCGTATTCATCAGCCATTAGTAGTATGATGTACACAATGGTTTGCACGAGGCCAGATATTGCCCATGCAGTGGGAGTTGTGAGCAGGTTTGCAAGCAACCCAAGGAAGCAGCATTGAGAGGTCGTGAAGTGGATATTGCGATATCTGAGAGGGACTACAAATATGCCACCGTGTTTCGGGAGAAAGGAATTGGTACTGTAGGGATACATTGATGCAGATTTTGCCGGTGATCATGATACGAGACGAAGCACCACGGGGTATGTTTATACCTTAGGGTCGACAGCAGTGAGCTGGGTCTCACGTTTGCAGAAGATTGTGACGTTATCCACAACTGAGGCAGAGTATGTCGCAGTGACCGAGGCGAGCAAGGAAATGATTTGGTTAATCGGGTGCCTGGAAGAGTTGGGTCTGAAGCGGAGGAACGAAGTTCTTTATTGTGATAGCCAGAGTGCTATACACCTTGTCAAGAACCCAATGTTTCATGCCAGAATGAAGCACATCGAGTTATGTTACCACTTCATACGCTCGATGATTGAGAACGGGAAGTTACAGTTGGAGAAGATTTTAGGGAGCCAAAATCATGTCGATATGTTAACTAAAGCAGTGACCATTCAGAAACTAGAGTTGTGCGCAACTTCAGTTAGCCTTCATATGTAAAGATGAGGGCGGAGCCACACAATGAGAATATAATTATTAAGAGAGCTTGCTGATAGCGGTTTGGTCTCCAAGTGGGAGATTGTTGGAAATTGGGGTGTAGCCCAAACCTGGTTGGCGATGAGCTCCTCCGACGAGCTTTAGGCGACCCCGATGAAGCTCAGGCAAGCTCAAAAAGATCCGCAGGCGAGGTCCAAGCGAGCGCAAGGAGCTTCACTCAGGCGAGTTTGGTTGCAGACGGACTCGAGCTCGAAAGGACTTACAGGCGAGCTTGGAGTTGGGACGAAGACGAGATCGAGCGGTCGCTTCACAGGCGAGTTTGGGCGCTCGGTTGAGTGTGGGACAGGCTATCGACAGCCTACTTAGGGTTTCCCTATTTAAAGGAATCCAGAGCCCAAGCCCTATGTGTGCTGATCCTCTCTCTTCTTCGCGATCTCTCTCTGGCGGCTGCCTCCTCTTCTTCGTTCTTTCTCCAGCGTCCAAGCAGAGTCTTTTTTGGGTGAGGTTGAGAATTTAAAAAGGGGAATTAAGAAGGGGATTAGAGAGAGAGTTCTTGTAGCATTTATTGAGGAGAGAGAGGAGAGTTTTTCTTGTTGGAAAAACTCGCGCCCTTATTTGAACAACAGATAGTTCTTTTTTGTTGGTTCCCTTTTGGGAGATCTCAAGTTGAGATCTACTCTTTTACAAGCTTTGTAATCTTCTTTAATATAAAGAAAATTATTTGTGTGGCTCCCGAGGACGTAGGCAAGTTGCCGAACCTCGTTAAAACTCGATGTTCTCTGTTCTTGCCATTATTTTGAATTTGTTGTGATTTTTTTTTCATTGCTTAACACAAGATCCGGTAGGGCAAATTTCGCAGAACGGGTATCAGAGCGTATCTGATATTTTCCTAACAACTTACTGGTAGGTAGAAGGACACGGTGGACATTTGCTATTATTTTCCTAATTCTATACCGCCTTTATAATAACAAGTTGATAAACATGATATAGATATTACATGTGTTAATATCAAGTTAAACCAAACAAATTTCTAAATATTTAACTCACTATAATCTCCTAGATTGTTATAATGCAAGGATAAAACACTACCACATACCTTACATAAAGGAACGGTTTTGTGGTGTCGGTTATTAACCGTCGCGTTAGGAATCAAGGGGAGCGGTTTCGGTGCGGTTTCTACTGTTGCGCTTGGCTTAAGGGAATGGTTTGACAAGACCGCTTCGATAGGCTTGAATCTATTTCAAGCACTTAATCCTTGCCCTCAAGTTTTCATGTGCGCCCAACTTTTTAACTTTTATTTCTTAAATCTCAAACTCGCAAATCGCGGTTAGGGCTTTGGCTAGGGCATACAAGCTCCCAAAATTTCCTCACCCAAATTCATTCAGCCACCATAAATCCTGAAGAATCCCCTAAATCCTATGCACCCTCAAGCCCTAAAACTCTCTCCCCTCTCAGCAAAAACCCTAAGTCAGTTCATTCTCCTATCTCTTCTCTCACTCAAGCGCTCTGTCCATCAATCTTCTCCTCCCTCCGGTCAACCGCCAGCAAACGCCGCCTCCTCTTCCTCACTGACCGCCAGCTAATGGTTCGATTTGAAGGAAGATCATGATCAGTCGTCTTCATTTTGATCAAAGAAGGAGGAGATTAGGATCAATTGCTTAAGGTTTAACAGATTTATCCATATCAAGGTATTTTTCTTGCGCACCAGGTGTTTGATTTTGTTAATTATTTCTCTTAGGTTTTGATTTTTGATGCAAGTCATCCTTTTGTTGTTTTGATGTTGATTTTTGTGGAAATTGTAGTTATTTGAGGATTCCTTTGGATGTGATTCCACCAAATTCTAGGGCTAAAAATTATATGGTGCTTAGGTATTACAATTTCAAAAGTTCGCCATCATGCAGATCCCACCACCAAACGCCACAAGGTCAACAACCCTTGAGGTACTATTTTGATGTAGCATTTTATTTAATTCTTGACTGGGTATGAATTTATAGCATTCATCCTAGTAAAGGAGCAAACCTACACAGTTTTTTTTTTTAAATTGTCCTGACTAATTTATATTTCGTATTAAATTGTCTCAATTTTTTAGAACTGCATAGGTCTTGTATTATTTTGGTTGATGAATATGATGAAATTGTTATTTTAGATAAGTTGACTTTCTCTGAATTTTCATTTCACCCAATTAATAAAAAATACGAGGACATTGAATTATTTATTGTGACAAACACCAATTTCAAGTTCTTGTTAGTGAGATTTGGTTGCAAGAATTTTGTTCAATTGGTGGAAAGAGAGGGAACTTCGGTGAGAATTAGAAGTGAAAATGGACAATATCTCATCATTTGAAAAAAGACATGATTCTTTCATCCCCTCAGTTTATCAGGGAGGAGGACCATATAATTTAACGACTACTATTGTTCAGCCTTATGGAAAGTCATATGTAGTCTCATTCTTCCTATGTCATTACTCTTTTTTACCTTTCGATAGATAATTTTAGTGAAATATGAGTTTCTTGTTTTGTACAACTGTCATTATTCTTGGTTATCTTTCTGTACTCCGCTCATACGATGTCAATTCAATGCATACCAAACTTTCCTCACGACCTTGTAGGTTGCTATTGACCCCCCGATCTAATTTCAGGGTCATGTTGAGACCTGTATCAAAAAATAGTTGCTCTTCAGAATTTGAATCCTCATAATATTTGACCATATAATTTAACGACTACTTTCAATGTATTAATTGTGTCATAGCAACTTAGTTTTTGGTCATGTATCTTTATTTGTCAGCTTATTGATGTGCTCATGCTGCAAATGCAAGTTTTTACCTTTATGCATGTTTCTGATGTATATTTAGTTTTTTTTCTGCACATTTTGAGTAGTTTTTACTATATCACATACTCTTGATAGTTATACAAAGCAGTCATTATTGCCTTCTTATTGTTGGTACACATTCATTTTAGCTGATTCTTTAAAGGGTTTCTGTTGCAGCCTTAAACACACGATTCTCTTGTAACATTACTATTGCAACTCATGTAAATCTGAACCTCAGGATATTTTGTATTAAACACTTAAAATCGTTACTTCGTTTTAGTAAGCTGTTGATGAGAAACATCTGGCTTCTATTTTTATCTTGAACTTAAATTATTGTTTTGGACCATGGAACTTCGCTTCTATATACGCATATGCTACTTCTGTATCTGCGAGTCCTATATTGTTGATGGTTTTCTAGTTATAGTTTATACTATAAATAGTAGCATGTATACCACCAAAATGGGATCAGGTATAACCTTAATTTATTATATCAATTTTATGCAATTACTATTGTTCCAAATACTTTCTCTTATAAAAAAGTCCCTGGTAAGAAATGGTTTGTTTGAACTTAATTCCTGTGAGATCATGATGGATGGTGCATAATTTGTTGAGTCTGATGTCCAATTATGATATGTTTTTGTAAAAGGACAAAAATCCATTGTTCGAGTACAGCAGGTCTTTGTGCTATGAACTTTTTTAGCATGTTATTTGTGATCCATTCAGAATATTTTCTACATGGTAGCTTTTAATATAATCTGATATCATTTACATGATCAGGTGTTTAAAAGAATCCTCAAAGCATATGCAACAAAACTTTATTCTCGATTACCCAAGGGGGGTTCAGGGCTAGTTGCAGCTGCTACTGGTACAAATGGGCAAATCAATGTTATATAAGCACTCTTTTACTTGTTGCTTGTAAGTAACAATTCTTTTTGAAATTCTCTGATTTTGTTATGTAAGTTTACACTTATATTAATAAATCAATTACTTCCCTAAATTGCAGGTTCCTAGTGAGTATTGGACAGGTTCCTAGTGAAATTGGCGAAATTGGCGATTGAGGCTGACAGGTTCCTAGTGAGTATTTGACATTGAGGCACAAGTTTTTGGAAACAAATAGAGAATATAAAGTCTTTGACCAAGAAGTTTCATTTTTTGTAATCAAATGTTGATGTTGTTTGAATATTAGTTCGGTACGATATTTTCTGAGCTGAAATGTTGGTAATGTGGATTTTATACTTTGTAGTTTTTATACTATACCGATGTATGTTGACACTTATCATTATAGTTGATTATGCTCAACATTTTCACTTTGATATTGTGTATTTAAATTTGACTTGGGCCATGTTCTTAAAAAGATTGTACATGTAATTAAATACTATATGATTTTGCCGTAGGGAACCAAGAACAACTCAATCGGAGCCGTTGCAATAGCTCAATCAAAAACACTGCAATAGCTCGATCAAAACTGTTGCGATAGGTTAATCCAAACCGTTGCGTTAGGTCTTTTAAAACTGTTGTAATAGCTAAAAAAACCGCTGCAGTAGCTTGAAAACCGTCGCAATAGCTCAATCAAAACCGCTGCAATAGCTTAAAACCGTCGCAATAGCTCAATCAAAACTGTTGCAATGGCTTAAAAACCGCTTGCCTTTTAAAACCGTTGCGTTAAATGCGGGGGCAACGGTTCAAAAAACCGTCACAATAGAGTTCAAAACCGTTACGGTAGAGGTAGGACAACGGTAGCATATGAGGCGGTTTGAGAACCGTCGCACTTGCTCAAGGGCGACGGTTCCATGGCTAGTGCAACGGTTTTGAACAGTTGCGTTAGAGCAAATATGTGGTAGTGAAAGAAGTCCCCGATCCTTGCACAGTCTTAGTATCAAAATGCTTAGAGCCGATAAATATACCAGTGTCAAGATTCACGCAATTGGGACTCTTGTGAAGGGTATATATTGGAAGGGAAGACGGAGCGAGGTTAAGAGATGATTGGTTTAGGAATTGAAGTTAGGGTGAATACACACGCAATCAGTACCGCATATCACATTCAGTAGCACTACATTCATGCTCTTCACTCTACGTTAGCTGTTACATACTTCAGATGCACGGATGATAGTCACGTCCTCCTGTTTGAGTCGGAGTTCGTAGGTCCTTCTAAGCGAATGTAGTCATACATTATCCCGTGAAACGGACTTGTGTTCATCGCCTGCGTCAGAAATACGGTATTCGTACCTTCAACGAGCCAAGAACCCCGCACGTCAACATCATACAGCCAGTAGAGACCATGGATCCCATGTCTCGCAATCGCGTTATCCTTGCCAATTATCCCCGTCCAGAAGTGAGGAGGGTTTGCATTCAGGTCGTTGACGCGGACCTTTAACAAAGACAAGTTATGTTTATTAGTTTCAACAAAATATGGTTAATTGCAAGTACGCAGTCTGTGCTATGCATGCTACAGTTGTCAGTTGTAACCCCTTGACATCAGATAGCATTACTTTTGTGCTCAATCCAGAGGGCAATGTAGTTCTTTTTTCAGTTAAACTGAGGGCAAAAGCTAATGTATCATCACGTGATTTCAAAGGATTCCTACGTGACATCTCAAACCTAAATTAGAAAATAATGCCATCTGCAGTTCAGGAGATGTAAGTGCTAATAATTTTATGGAGTGCAAGTGACTACATCCTCGTGGTAGAAAGGAGGTGTATCCGCAATTGACCATGTCAAACACAGACTTTGAAAAGAACGGCAAAGTTTCTACCTGTAAGTCAGAATACGAAGCCGATGCAAGTGCAATCCGTAGCTTGTAGTTTCCATTTTGATCAACAGGGTCAAGTTGGAATCTTATCTGCCAAGTGGTCGATAGATATGAGCTTTGACCACTCTTCCTGAAAGGAAAAAGAATTTTTGAATTAGCTGTCACAGGCAAAAGAAAATGTGCTGGAAACTAATGTTCATTTTTTGTATTTTGTTTTGTTTGCCAATTGAAACATGTAAGCTAACAAGGAATATGACAAAAAACAAACAAAATAATTTATGAAATGTCACATTTCAAAGGAAAGGGGGTCGTTAATATTAGCTCAAGTAGTAATCCAAATATTCTTATTTCTTATCCATCAATAATTTAAATTTGTTTATGTACTGAAATACCGATCAAAATGCAGCACTTAGGCAACCTTACCGTGTAACTTGAGCGAAGAACCAGTCCTTGGTATAGTCACTTTCACCGATAGTATAAACAAGATCTCCATCTGGGTATAAATCTGCATACCTCTCCCATAGTCCATATTGCCTAAACCTGTAATAAGAACGTCGCATATTTGTTAGTCATTTCGAAAAAAGAAAATTGTCTTCAAAATTTGTTAAGTTGAAAACCTTATTGATCAAAAGCTTTTTGACAAATTTACGGTTAATGCGAGTACATCCCCTGTACTATCACCTAGTTGCTTACACTCAATTGCGGATAGACTTCCTAGTTCTATGTAGATCTCTTGACTAAAATGTTTTTATTCTTAAAAGTCTATTTGTCATAAAAAACTTCCTCGAAGGGTAAAAGAATTAAATGAGTTTCACTCATGATGCAGACCGCTTAACAGACAATTTCATGGATGATTCAAACAATCACGAGCTAAATACAAATTTATACGTATTATTGACTTCCACAAAAAAAAAAACAATCATATCTTCCAACCTATAAGGCAGATTCTGACATATTATATATGTAAATCGCCTATCTCGACGAGACGGAGCCAACTAGATTGTCAGATTTTTAAAATCTCATCAGTAATACCCGGTTTTGGCTGAAATCCTAAAATAATTAGCTTTTAGTTTATTTTTAGTAATAAAGTTGGAGTCTATTTAGATTAAGAAATAAATTCATTTTAGAGTCAAATTAGATTAGGAAACAAATTCAATTTTGACTCATGATTTGTTTCCTCTATTATAGGGAGTCTTTTTAGGATATAATTTGATACTATCTATTTCTTTGTAATTCTAGTCTTACTAGGAGTCTTATTTGTATTTCTATTTAAGAAGAGTCATGTAAACCCAAAGAAGAATAATAACTTTTGATTAATAAAATTTCTCTTTTTAATATTTTCTTCGTGGATTTGAAGTTCTTGTGGATTCGAAGATTGTTCTTTGTGGATTCAGAGAACGTCCTTGGTGGACTTCGAGGCTATAACTTCCGCACTGCGTTAATTTGTATCAGAGCTTTGTTCCTCTGATCCGACGGCATGTGATGAAGCCTTTTTTTTCTTGAACTGAGTTCGACGTGTTGAAGACCGATGTTAATCAGATAAAGATTGTCATAGAACGACTTGCGTCGATAGTGCAGCGTCTGAACACGGGAGGAGTTCGAAAATCGTGTTGATGATCACCAACGACATGATCCGACTCCACATGATGAATTCAATAGTGATGACTATGAAGCCTCATGCCACGGTTATGATCGCAGAGACCACCAAAGACAGGACAATTATGACACTAGAAGATTAAAAATACCATCCTTCAATTGAAAACTTCATGCTGATGATTTCATTGATTGGATGATAAAGTTGATAAGTATTTTGAGTATAAGATAATCCTAGAAGATTAAAAAGTTAAATTAGTGTCTTACAGGCTTAAAGAAAAAGCATCTGTATCGTGGGATGAAGTACTGATAAATCGATACCACCAAGGGAAGGATCCGGTTCGAACGTAGGCAAAGATGAAGAAATTATTGAGAAACCGTTTCTTACCTTCCAACTACAAGCAATGTCAGATGTCTTTAAAAGATTCTTTTATCTTAGCCGCTACGATCCGTCTAGCGAAGAAGGTGGAGCGAGAACTTGAGCAGAACGACATATGACCTTTATCATGAATGTGTTTAGAGAGTTATCAAACTAGTTATGAATATGGGAAAATTAAGAAACCTCAATTCATCTCTGAGAAAGAGTCTGGATTTGTGAAGAGCACTGAGGAAGCATCAATAAAGACTTCATCAATTATGTCAATCATAGAACCGAATCCATTTAAGACAGAGATTGGTAACGAGAAGACTTCTCTAGTGGCAAACAACAAGACGCTCACTCCCAAAAAGGAAAATTTTGCCATCATCAAGATTCATTTTGAGGAACCTGATGTTGATGATATGTTAATAAAGATGAATATTCTACATGATATCGTGAGTGATGTGTTCCGATGGAGAAGGATAAAATAGAGAGCAGGATAATTGATGGTATGTGTGAATTTCTTGGTGGAGGGCTCGAGGCAAAGAAGATGAAAGAATTATGTATGGATAATTGATGGTATGTGTGAATTTCTTGGTGGAGGGCTCGAGGCAAAGAAGATGAAAGAATTATGTATGAAGTATGAGGGAGAAAATTCTTATTCTTGGTGGAGGGCTCGAGGCAAAGAAGATGAAAGAATTATGTATGAAGTATGAGGGAGAAAATTCTTATTTGGAAGCAACGATCATCAATAATTTCAGCAACGATGAGATGATACCGACGACACTAGAATATGGGAAGCAGCAAGAAAAATATTTGGAAGAGTTTTTCATGTCAACTACAGAGCCACATGCTGCCAATTATATACACATGTCATGGGAAAGATTCATAGACAAGTTTGATACAGAAGAAGTCCTAGCAGAGGAGGTAAAAGAACAAATGGAGAAAATCAACGCTAAATACAAGGTTGATGCTGATCGTTACAAGCGAAAAAATATTTAATAATGAAGTTACTATTCTAATAAATATAAGCTCGGGGTCGAGCTTCTTTCAACAAGGGGAGACTGATGTAGGACACTTAACAGATAATTTCATGGATGATTCGGACAATCATGAGCTAAATACAAATTTATATGTATTATTGACTTCCGTAAAGAAACAATCATATCTTCTAACCCAGAAGGCAGATTCTGACATATTATATATGTAAATTGCCTATCTTGACGAGACGGAGCCAACTAGATTGTCAGATTTTTAAAATCTCATCAGTAATACCCGATTTTGGCTGAAATCGAAAATAATTAGTTTTTAGTTTATTTTTAGTAATAAAGTTGGAGTCTATTTAGATTAGGAAATAAATTTATTTTTATAGTCAAATTAGATTAGGAAAGAAATTCAATTTTGATTCATGATTTGTTTCCTCTATTATAGGGAGTCTTTTTAGGATAGAATTTGGTACTTTCTATTTCTTTGTAATTCTAGTCTTACTAGGAATCTTATTTGTTTTCTATTTAATTAGAGTCATGTAACCTCAAAGGAGAATAATAACTTTTGATTAATAAAATTTTTATTTTTAATATTTTTTTCATGGATTCGAAGATTTTTCTTTGTGGATTCAGAGAACGCCGTTGGTGGACTCCGAGACTATAACTTCCGCGTTGCGTCAACTCAGGGCGCTATCTGCAACAATAGATCTACAAGGGATCTATCCACAATTAACCTTAAATCTAATAGCCAGCCAAATTGAATTGAGTTACATAAGAATTACCTGTCAGGATGATTGATATAGAGTCTGTTGACATAGTTAGGGTTAGGATCCGGAACAAAGAACTCAGCGGCTGAGCGATCAGGGACTCCTATCTCCCACAAAGTAGGACCATCTCTTGGAGGCTCATATATAAGATCACCCAAATCGATAATACATCCTGCTCAATTAAATGCCAAAAAAAAATCCACTAGTGCATGTTTAAGTTTATTTCAAAAGGGATGACACAACCTCACCTGCAGTTAACATAATAGTTGCATCAAATCTATAGTCTCCAACAAAGCCAGGAACCCATGCATACAGATTATAATCTCCAATTCGAACATTGCTAATTGAGAATTCTCCAAAAGCATCAGCCCTTGTCCAGAACTGGTATCCCTGAAAAGATCCTAAGATGTAATATTATGATTATTTACTTGATATTTCAACTAAAACATAGGAATAATATCAACTTTATGTTGACCTTGCTTTCCCTTTGCCACGAACCGGTTTCCCCTGGTAAAGCCAAGCCGACATATGCATAGCCTGCATAAATGTATTCATCGTCTATATACCTGAAGGGGAAAGTAAAACAAAATAACAAGTTAATCCTTTGGGCTTCTATATGTCTTTATTGTGAGAATAAACTATATTAAACCAAAATAATACCTATCACTGACAAGTAGTCTACCAGTAACGCAACCTCTCTGCTCGGATGTCGGGTAGTCCTCTGAGAAGGGAAAATTATATGGCCAACTGTCTACTTCAATTTGCATCTGAACATTAATTTAATAGGAACAATTAAGAAAATTTGTGTCCCTCAATTTTTTTTAAAAATAATGTGAACTTTGTAACAAGCAAAATAAGAGGAGGATTCATCAAGTGTATGAACTTAGAGAAGAAATTCCTATCTTCGAAATTCTTAATGCTTTAAAATAAATGCAGTGATTTGAAATACTAAGTTGCATTTCAAAAAAGTTTATTTTATATCAACTGTTTTTTGGCCCGAAGTTACTATAGTGATAGTGTACATTTAATTAAGAGCAGGAAAAAACAGTGTGATGACAACCTGAATCTTTGCATCCTCCCACAAAAGTTGTGGATCTGTAAAAATCCAAGAAGAATTAAGATACATAAACACTGGACCGAAAACCTTTTTCCAGTATTCTCCACCTCTAAATTGTAGTGCAAGGTCAGCACCGGCATAATGTGTACTGACAAACATCTGCGTGCACACAAACATAATGTCAGATATATAGCAAATTGTCTAACGTGAACACAAAAATACATGACAAATGCTAAATACACTAGAATATTCTTTGGATACTACGTTACAAACATGTTACAGAAACAGACACATGGAACCTAATTCCAATCCACGAGGAAGTTTCCCACATGTATCTTGTAGAACGAAAGCAGTATGAATAGTAGTGCATTTAATAATATACTACACTTACAGCAAGTGTAGTAGGACCAACATGCGAAGTAAGATCTTGCTTGATGGGCCCACCAGTTCTGAACTCATCACTAGGTGTAATTTGCCAAAACCCTATCGGAGGGTCGAAAGAAATCCAACCATGTACCTTGTTATCCTTGTTCTCTATCGAGTATTGATATTTGTCATCCACCTAGGTATATACTCCACAATTAGATCAACAAGAAAAGTAAATTTCAACCAAAAGTCCTTCATGTTACCTCTCCTTTGAGCTCTGGATTGATTGGATTCACCAAAAGCACGGCCTCTGGATATGCTAATTGTTTACCCCTCCCTGGGAGACGGTCATCAGGCATCGGCATGATCCTCTGTCTGTCGTCAGCTAATGCCATATATTGGAACCTATATTGAATAAAAATTTGTCATTCATACTAATAAAACATATATCTTGTCCATAAAAGCTAACTAGAGCACAGGGTATTGGCTCAAAGTTTTAAAAGAATTGAGCTTGAGCTAGTCAATAATGCTGGCTCTCTAGTATAATCTCAATATAGATATTTCCAACTTGTATATTTATCCTTCAATATCCTAACTTACTATGGCATGTGACTTCAAAAACATATAGTGGATATAAAGGAACAGTAGAAATAGAGAAAAGTGTGTGTGTGTGTATGAAAATTCAATGGTTAGCTTAATGAATATCTATTACTTAGCTTCAATTACAGCAAATATAAACTGTCTGTTGAGAAATGTAATATTCAAAAAAATGAGGGCTGAGAGCAGCGTACTTGTCTTTTCGAAGCTTGAATGCTATCCGAGCCTCTGGCATATCAAAATCAGGCCAACCCTCCAAATGCTCATAAATGCCGTAAGTGTAGAATCCTGAAGATCCTCGGAGCATTACAAACCTAAAACTGGAATATCAGTTATCTCATAACTATCAAAATGTCAAAGAAATTTCTCACCAAAACAAAAAAAATTACATACCTCTTTTCAATGTTTAATGGTGCAATCGTAGTGTCTTTTAGGGAAGGATCCCACATCCGGGTGAATGACACCTCCACCTGATTATCATCTTCAGCTATTATGCTAAAATCAGTACCTATTATCCTAGATGAGAGCATGAATGTCCAGTTTATTTGGTATTCAACATACTTCAAGGACATAAACACAAAACGAACATAACGAGCATATTTACTTATCAAATATTATATTGCCTCCAGGTTCACTCCAAACATGATCCCAGTACCTATATGCCCACGTAAGCACAATGTAAGAATCAAAGCAACTCAAAGTTTATATGACTACCATCATGTAAATTACACCTTACTTATGCCAGTGTTCTGGACATCCATTTTTTTTTTGGTAATTGATATAAAAGAAACTGTTCGATGTCTAAATTGAAAATATGAATACATGTTAGCAAGAAATATGGTTCCTTGCTACAGCCATTGAATACATTGTATGTAGGTTAGGTACAAACCACGTTTGTCCACACTAAATTGTTTATTGGCACTTACATCTCATGAACTTCAGACAAGATAATTTCCTAGTGAGAATCATGTGAGAAAATTAATTTTTTTGTCATCGGTTTTAACTGATAGAATGAAATCAACCTCAAAATTGAGGGCAAAAAGTAATGTACGCTCACATGATTCTCTCCGTAACACGTTAACCTTGAAGAGAAATAATGTTCAGGGAATGTAAGTGCTAATGAAATAGTTTTAAGGGATATATGTGGCTTCACTTCCAGAGTACAGGGAGTGTATTAGTAGTTAACCCCTTACATGTATGGTGACAAGGATAAGGCTTGGGTCCTCGCAGGAAAAATATGGTAAATTTCTCTTAACCCCCTGAACTTGAGGGTGTTTTGCACATAATCCCCTGAACTTTTTATTCCACTTAATCCCCCTGGATTTATCTCACTTAACCCTCCAAACGTAATGCTGTGAACTTTGACAGGTCACGTGCCATGCACGTGACAGCATAGGACCGAGGGGGCCCAATTAACTTTTTTCATAATTTCCGGTTGTATTTTCAAAAAGGCCGGTGTGATCGTTTCACCATTAGCTGCTGACGCTGTCATGGGGATGTTCTGGAAAAACTTCAAAGTTTACAGGGAAATTGGAATAAACAAAGTTTGGGAGGGTTGCGGGCAAAACCGCCCAAAGTTTTGGGGGATTTAAGTGCAATTTACTCAAGAAAGCAATCATCTTCGAAGAGGATACCCTAAAACCTAGTTGTTAGATACTATGTCAACCATTTTTTTTTTCTTAGGAAAAATACCATATCAGGTGCAGCCGTGCAGGCCAAGAAAGCAAATCAGGCCATCATTTGAAATGGCAAGTTCGATAACGTAGTCACAATCACAGCATGCGCAACTAGTTTATAAACAATAACAGGGCAACATCAACCGCTTTCAAATACAAATCTATACTTTAATGTACCTAATTCTATAAATAGCTAGTCACAAGTTAAGGGGAAAATAAAGCATACCCTCTATTGTCTTCTTTGTTGAGAACCTCCATCACATTATCCACACCATTATATTGAATTCCAGTAACAATCCCATCCGGCTTCGACAATGTAAGTTGCAACAACCCATTATCAATTATAACCTACAAAACCCATACATACACATACACACGCACGCGCGCGCGCGTAACCACAAAATCAACAAATAATCCATAACAAATAAAAATATCATCAGGATACAAGGAATTTTGATGCATACATATTTATCTTGAACATATAGCCGGACCCCGATAGGCGACATTGGACCCTGTTGGCCTGAAGTGCAGCAGTTTGATATGGCTTTCCTGTTACATATGGACAGTAGATCAAATTGGGCATAGTTTTAAGACGGCTAGGTGGTTATTATAGTTAGGACGTGTGTTACCTAAGTTTATGAAGAGGACGCATGCTGCGGGAATTCTCTTGAAAGCCAAGTATCAGTCTCTTGAAAGCAAAGATGAGAAAGGAGTTTAGCTTTGTAGGAGGAGGGAGAGGAGGGAATTGGGATGCTTGTTGATGTCACGGGCGCTTGTTTGTGTGGGGTTTGAGACGCTTGTCATGCTTTTGGGATGGACAGAGATTTTACTTCTTGGTTTTCTGGTTAAAATATTTTTTGGCTAACGAGTCAAAAGGTGCTCTTTTTTTTTTTTTTTTGAACTGTAGGGATTAGACTCGGTGTTCTGTGTAGAAATATCACGGGGGAGGATTAGGTACTGAAAAGGCTACGAGAGTAGGGAGCTTTTTGGTTATATGATCTAATCGAGGCTAAATGCCACTTAAATAGGGGTGTGCAACGGTCGGTTCGGTTCGGTTTTTATCAAAATTTGAACAACCGAACCGAACCGCCTATAATTCAAAACCAAACCGAACTGTTGCAAGTCGGTTCGGTGCGGTTCGGTTCGGTTTGTTCGGTTCTAACTTCATCAAAATTCTTATCAAACAACAAACTGTGTTAAAGAGAAAAAAGATATCAACCAAGTAGGAGATTATGAAGCATTAAACACTGATATAATGATATTGATTTTAACCCATAATGATTCAGAAAATGAGTTTAGTGTTTGAGTTTTTGACTCTTTGGGGACAGGTCGGGTAGGGTTTGAGATCAGAATGGGTAATGTTACGCTATATTCGGTCGGTTCGGATCGGTTTGGGTTGAAAAATTTTCAAACCGACCCGAACCGTCCTACTCATAAAACCGATTTTTCCGGGTCGGTTCGGGTCGGTTCGGTCGGTTTTTTCGGTTTGGACCGAACCATGCTCAGCCCTACACTTAAATGCCCTATTGTTTTACACATTTATACTAAAATCCCCTAAGTTAGTAAAAAAATAGCGCTTTAATATTCTAAGTTGTAAAATTTTGATACATTAGTACCTTTTTGGTAGTTATCATCCACATAAACCTAAGAGTACGTCCTAACGACTAGCAGAATATATCAAAGTGCTACTTTCTTATAACTTAAAGAGTATTAAAGTGCTACTTTTACAATTTAGCGTATTAAAGTGTTATCTTTTTTCAACTTAGGGTATCAAAGTGATACTTTTAACGACCTAGGGTATTTAAGTGTCAATATGGTGAAACAACATGATATTTAAGTGCGATTTAGCCTATAATCTATGTATTTACTTGCTTTAAAAAAATCTATGTATTTCTATTCTTAGAAGAAAAGTATAAAGTAATGAAGCCAAATTGGTAAAAGAAATTTCTTATATGAAAATGGAAACCGAGGAGTTTAATATTCAGTGGAGAACCCTCTAGTTGAGAGGAAAGAAAGTAAAACACACAAATGGATTGCTTCCACTGTTCCACCTATATTAAATTGAAGTTCCTCCCTAACAGAAAAATAAGACTGTTATCTGAAACTGCTACCTCTAAAAAGTCCATTTTATAAATCTCTATTTTTGTTTTATTTTGTTCTTTTTTTTAAAATCTGCTCTAAAATTTATGACCAGAGAGAATTGAACTTGGATTGCTGTAATACCATGTCAAAAGACCCCATCACTAAACTAAAACTATCTAGTGGTGATGAGGGTAGCAATTTATTCTCCATCACAGGAGCCTTTTTTGACTTTTAACACCATACCCAAACTTGAGTGAGAGGTCATATAAAAAAAAGTAAGCCTAAGAGCATCTCCAATGGTATACTCCATATTTAGAGGGTTTGAAGAGAATATTCTTCAAGATTCCTCAAATATAGAGGGTTTGTAAAAGTTGTGCTCCAATGGCGCCCTCTATATTTATATGAATTAATCTATCATTAACAAATTAATAATATAAATAAAATAATTAAAACTTATCATTTTTTGTACAAAAATTATACCTTTAGAACCGTCTCGCTGAAACATTTTAAATGAGATTAATATTGAATATTTTTAGAGTCATTTTTAAATTAGTTTATTTTAATATAATAAAATAAAAATATTCGTTAATAAAATATTTTTAAAATTAGTTTATTTTAAGACGATTCCTCGCTCGACATAGGAACATCCAAGATCGGGAGGCTCACTTTGAACTTCGGAATGCACTCATTGAATATTTATGGCAAAGACATGGTAATAGAATAATGTAATTTTTTTAAGCTTGATGTATTTTAAATTCTCTGTACTTTAATATTTCATAATGATAAATTTAAAATTAATATTAAAAGTATTAAATATTAGTCTCATTTTGAAGGTTTCGGAAAGACAATTTCAATGATATAATTTTTATTTAAAATAGACGAGTAAATTTAAAATTATATTAATCTAAATAATTAGTTTAATTATATTTAAGGATACAATTGGTATTTATGAAAAGTTATAATGAGATGGGAAGACAAAATTGGAATTAAAATATATGAATAGTATTATAGAGGGCACCCTCTATATGAGCCCAAACCCTTCAAAAATTAAAATATATGAATAGTATTATAGAGGGCACCCTCTATATGAGCCCAAACCCTTCAAATATAGAGGGTTACTGTAGCACCCTCTTAATATAGAGGGTACCCTCTATATGAGCCCAAACCCTTCAAATATAGAGGGTTACTGTAGCACCCTCTTAATATAGAGGGTGGTACAGTTGCACCATTGGAGCCAATGGTACTCCATTTATAGAGGAATGGAGTACCGTTGGAGATGCTCTAACAATTAACAAACTACTGAAAATCCTTGGAAATAAGGCCCGACGATGAGCAAGAGATATTGACTTAAAAGAGGGGACAAAGAAATCAAACTCAATGGAAGATACCTGATAAATAACAAAATTAGTATAACACAATGCTCAAAGGCTACCTATTGCATTGAAATTTTACGACATTCAGTAGCACAACAGAAGTTACAATTATTGTCTCCACCTCTCTTTAATTCAAGTGAGATATGCCCTCTTCAAGAATAACTAAATATACTACAGTAGCAATCCTTTCTACAAAGATAGCCAAGCAAAACTCTTTACATTACCATGAAAAGTTTATAATAGAATGACAAGGTAGTCATCCAAATAAGGGGCCTAAATCAAAATACATTGCTTAAAAACGGTGACTTGTGACTATGCATTGATTCCATTCTTTGGAACTGAGATTGTGCAGCAAAGATTTGAGTTGCGGGTGAAGATTCTGAAGAATGATCCTGCAACTTTGCTTTACCTACAATGTTCAGAACTTGCATTCGATGCAGCTCTTTGCCTGCAAAGGATATGGGAAAACAATCAGATATTAGCATCATTGGATAAAAGTTTATGCCTGAGTTTAAGCCTCGAGGGGCAAGGCATGAATTTAAATGGGTAAATTCAAAAAAAAAAAAAAACCCCAAGAAGTTTGGCCCATTTTGAGATAACCTGTTGGATAATCCAAATGCAGTAGGTGCCATTCTTACTGGCGCTTCTAACTCTCCTCTCCTACTTGTTTTGTTTTTCACAATAGTTGTTTCTCCAAATAACAGAGAGTGGTGAGCAAAAACTTGAGTGCCTCTAAATATAATCCATCACGCTCCCAATATATTTCTCCAACATAACCCTCAAAAAAATTGGAAAGTGCAATAAGTGAATGCTTAATAGAATTTCATGGCAGTTTCTTCAATTATACAAAATTTATAGTAGCATTCTGAAAAATCAGCGATATTTCATGATAGTTTCTTGAAGTTTACCCTTAAAATAACTTATATAAGTGCTAAAATATAAAATTGTAACCCTCAATCCTCACCACAATTTTGGAGTTTTGGTGTAGTGGTAGAGACTTTGAAAATATGCATACAACAAGTTCCTAGTTATAGGTATGGGGTGGGTGGGGGGCAGTAGAATGCTGCATTACCTTCCTCAAGTAAGAGATTTAATGCTCTTTTCTCCAGCTCAAGAGCACATCTACTATGATCAACAGCAGTTAGGCCGAAACACTGTTTACCAAAAGAAATATAAATATGTTAGAGAAGTGTAATTTTGTAAATTCGTCATTTCGCAAATTCGTTGTACCATAAGAGATGACAAACAAACTTACTCTGTTTATAATCCTCTAAACTTGACTGTTCACAGTTCTTCAAGAATGCTTGAAGCTGAATATACCTTTGTTTCCAGTCTTGAGTCCTTGATCTTTGAGGATCAACTGGAGGAGTTTTGGAGTGTTGATTGCTTGGTCCCTGAGGACAAACTCGAGCATTGCAATATTGATTGCTCACTCTCTGAGGATCAATTGTCTTTTCACTGTGTTGGTTGCTCTGAAGATCAGCTGGAGATTTGGAGTTCTGATATCTTGCTCTTTGAGGATCAATTGGAGCAATTTGGTGATTAACTGGAGCATTTGCATCATTCACGAGTTCCTGGGTATCAAGTGGAACAATCGGAGGACTTGGGTCTTGATTGCTTTGCCTCTTGGGATCATCGGGAGCTTTGCAGTCTAGATTACTTGGTCCTCTTGTATCCACTATCTCGTTATTGCACTCTTGAGCTTTGTCCTGCTGCACTTTGAGCTCATGTTTTAATTCATTGTCAAGTTTCATTGACAATAAGGAACTAGAAGAATCCACATTTTGTGACAGTTTCCTCCTTACATATACAAGATGACCATTTACTCCTCTGTTAACATGAGATTGATGGCTTGATGAGCTCAATGAGGAATCAGGATGCTGCCTCTTAGCACCAACTGATGCCATTATGGTATCATTTGTGGCTATTTTCTCTTTAGAATTTCGTGAGTTCTCTGCTGACGTTGACATTATGCTTTCAGAGGTACTTAGCTTAGTATTTTCACAGTGAAACGAGGTGTATTGATCAGTCATCTAGAACAAGCTGAAGAGAATGTCAAAAAACAACAGTAGTAATAGCAGTTAGTAAAACTCCATAACCATTTTTGTGTGAATGATAACTGAAAACGGCAGAAGTACTGGAAAGAATACATATTCATATATGATTACTGCAGGATAAGAATGCAACATTTGGGGTGTGTGTGTGTGTGTGAAAAGTAGTTTTTACATGGTATGTAAGGCTAAGGCTCTTTTCAACACCAAAAAATGGTAATCTAAACAAGGATGTAAACACGTAACTTTACCAGCAGCGGACCCTGCTATTATAAACTTAAGGTCATCTAGTCAAGGAATGAGTAAACATGACCTAAGATGAGGAAATTTCCCGATAAGTATACCAGGTTCAATCGTTGTAACATCTTAGTTTATAAGCCTATAAGCAAGCAAGGGAGGAAAAAACCGCATCTCCTGATTAATGAAGAAATAGGACTGGCTACACCAGAATGTAGGAACATCCTGCCTACAATCTCGGCAAGAGAACTTGGCTAAGGTAGAAGATATAATAATCAAAACAAGTTGGAAATATCTTCATGGTGACATATTTTACTCTAAGATCAGAATTTACCATCGAATAGTAGAAGGCAGATCCAATCAAGCTTGCATCAACACCATATTCTCCATCATTGCTGATATCCATTGGATCTCCATCTTTTGCCCCATGAGTGTCTAACTTTTAACCAAACTTTTTGGGTATAGATATATGAATCCTACTCATCCATTCTCCTCTATAATAAAATGGATTAATTTAAAAAGAAAAACAAATGACCAAAGGAAACTCTCAGCAGACACCAATACATTTAACATGGAAAACCCTTTAGCTGAAGGTAAAAACCGTTGGACCTAGCCTAGAAAAATCTCCAATATCAAAATAATAAGTATGCAAAATTTCTTCCTTAGATACTTGCATCCCTAGACACTTTAGAGGTACACTCATAACAAATAGGAAAGGAAAGAAGACTTGTTCTACACGTGAGAAGGAACACAAAAGACAGGTGAAAATACTCTCTTCTCTTTTTTTTTCTCTCTCCCTAACTCAGGTCTCTATGGCTTGGGTTGAATGTTGTTGTTCTGCCTTCAACCGGAGGAAACGAAGAACATTTATAGGCACAAAACCAAAGTGTCTCTTCGCTGGAGAAGGTAAGCAGCACTCTAGGCCGGTATTGTAGTTCCCTAAAATTGACTTTACCACCATCCCCTCCATTTCATTTTTCATGTGGGTATACCCACGTTCTCTTGTATGGTCACACCTCCATCAATAGGAGGGACCACTACAATTCTCCCCTCCCAACTATTTAGAGAGGTCCACCACTGCTAGCTTCAAGTAGAGATCAATCTTATTCTTAGAAATAACATTCATCATCATATCAGCAGGATTCTTGTGAATATGGATCTTCCACAGCAACAACTGCTTCCCTTTCATTACATCTTGTAACCAGCATTTCGTTCAAGAATGTTACGTGCTATTCTTGTTAATATTAATAACGCTTTGACTGTTCGAGCACATATATTACGTATCTATCCTTCCTTGATAAACCTTTGCATCCACAATATTTTACTTGCTTTTGTAGCTATGATATAGTCTATTTCTTTTACGGATAAAGCAATACACTTTTGCATCTTGGACTGTCAAGATACAACTCCTCGCCGCTGAGTATGGAACATCTTTGGTGTAACATGCACTTTGTCATGCACATCTCCTCATGCTGTAACATTCTCTAGTGAGGAAGGAACCGTCATGTGTTGGAATCTCCATCAACCTCGTTATTTGAAATTTCATCAATTGTTTGGCCTTCATGAATTGTTGTTGTCCCTCCTATTAATGGAGATGTATCCCTAAAAGAGAAAATAGGTGTATCCACATGAAAAATGAAATGAAGGTGATGGCAGCAAAGTGAAATTAGTGAGCTACAATACCGGCTAGTGTGTCGCTCACCTTCTTTCAACAGAGAATTTCTCTTAAACTCTTTCACACTTCAGTTTACTACCCACCCACCCACCCCAACACACATGCGGGCACGCCAGAAAGAGAAAAGAATCAAACAAAACGAAACATCAAAGTTGTTAATGGTCATCTGCGATATAACAAACTACTAACACGTCTTTCTTAGTTGCCTCCATCCCATCTTTTTCCTACTTCAGCAACTAAAAATATTTAATCCTAAAGTAGCTGAAGTGTTGCCTTCATATATTATAAAGTGGTGTATTTTACTACATTCTAAGCATAGCAAAAGCTTTTATCATCAGATTAAGTGTATTTCATGTCAAGCAAGTTGATGGCAAAGTCATATAAACTTTTGATATAAGTATGCTAACTATGATAAAGTTAAAAAAAATTATAATAAAATTGCGATAAACTAATCTTAAGAGACCCTCCAAATCCTGGCTTGCCAAAACTACATACAACATTAACATTTACTATTTATCAACAATTCAGAATTTACAAGCTCAACATCCTCCAATATCGTGAATCTCATTATATCAGGCATAATCATAACATAATCAGGGCTAATATAAGCTACTTGTGGTAAACTTCAATGTCATATGAGACCAGCGAAATTTTAACAAAGTCAACAACCTAACATTTTCTACTAAAAGCACATTGTCTTTCTAAATGATCATACAATGATGAATCTCTTGTGATCATACAAAAATAATAACAATACAACAATCTATAGACTGATCTCATGGCATTGCTTCTTTCTTTACTACTTAACTTCAAGAGAGTCACTTGAATATACCAAAATAGTTCAAGAAAATACATCAAATCAAACTACAAAACCTAGACATCCACTAAAAACACATTTAGTTTAAGAAAGTTTAGAATGTACTCTGCGTGAAGAAAGAAACTGCTGAAGACTATCATCATTCATCAGAAATAATCGACTCAGATTAAAAAGTACTCTCTTTCTATGTTATCAATAGAATAAGGAGGTTCATATACTCATGGGCTTGTAAAACACCAGACAATGTGACTTATTAGATCGAATCTACAACATATACTCTCTCTTCATTGAAGAAAACTGTGATATTTAATATAAAACTGATGATTGTGGTTTTCTTCCTCAATTACATGAATGTAATTTTGTTAACAAATGAGACAGGCATCGCACCAACTTGGCATCACACCAACTTACCTAAATTGCATGCAATCCCTCTTTAAAAAAATAAATAAATCTAACTCTAGCACTTTAATACATAATCTATCCTTGAAAATTTACTAAATACTCCATGAAAGGCTCTTTCTCACAGGAAACATAAGTCTAACTCATGTTACCTTGTACCCTTTCAAGCATAACCCTAACAACCTCGGAAAGATGTAAGATGCAGTAGACTTGGATGCATCTACAGACTGTGTCAATTATTCAATCTATCTGTCACATCCCCCTTCAAACAAACCATACAGCCAAATACCAAAAAACTATGCTCATAATTAATCAACTTTTCGCCCTCCACAATTTTTCAAGAAACCCAGGATCAAAGTTTCAAATTTTATCAAGTCAACGGAACCAATAATGCTTATTGAGATCACATCAAAATCTACAAATACCTATAAAGTATAGACAATTCTTTCGCTTGCAATTCTACCGTACCCAAAACTTGTCCCACTGATTATTTCCATCCACAACTAGAAATTCAAAATGGAAAGCGGCAAAATTAAAGAAGACCGACAAAGGGGCAACTCAAATTTTGATCAAAATTTCTCAGGAACACAAAAGATCCATCAAGAAATTTCACCAAATACAAAGATATCGTGAAGAAGAAGAAAGGGGAAAGTTTCTACCTTTGAGCATTACGGCCGATCTCAGTGGGAGAGCGAAAGGAGAGAAATTTTGGGGAATTTCAAGAAAATAAAAATAAAAGGCTAGCCAAATTGTACAGAGAGGAACTTTGGCTCTAAGGGATGAGAAATGACAAAATGAGACCTTTATTACAGTTTCAGTTCCTCTCTCTCGCTCTTAAAATATTAACGGCTCTTTTTTTTTTTCCTTTCTTTTTTTATCCTCTCTCCTTTTGGTTTTTTTAAAGTCCGGTTAAGGGTTTTAATAAAAAGCCAACCTTTGAGCATATATATATATACTAGTATTTAACCCGTGCAAAGCACGGGCTAGTATTAATCTTTTGGTTTGTTTTATGTGTACATATTTTTATGCATCACTTGCGCTACTGTGATAACACTTTTTGTTGTCTTTCTTAATTTCAGCATCGTTCTCAATTCAAAGAATTATATGTTGTTTGCAAAGTTGACATTTATGTTCAATAAGTAAGATTATTAAATTTACTAAAAAGCACTGGTACGAATATACATTACATACATGTGTAATTACAGAAATTTACTAAACAGCACTGGTTCGAAGCAAATCTCCAAACAAATCTTCAAAAATTTCAAAAACACAAATCAAAGAACAATTCACAAATTGATGGAAACAAATCAATGAAGCACAAAAATGTATATAAAACCAAACAGATTTATCTCCTTACAGCGCATGAAAGCTCTTCTCTCAACCGATCCATACATGGAAGCCCATTATTATTATTATCAGACGAACATGCATTCTCACCAAAATTCTGTTCTCCCTTCATCTTCTTCCCTTTATCACTATCATCATCAACAACATTCCCCACTCCATTTTTCTTCACAGCAACGTCTGTAGTCAAAAACCCGATACGATTAACGAAGCCCAACTAAATAGTGATCAACAAAAAGTCCCCAAATCAGATTATTAAAATAAACAAAATTAGAAAAAAAAACAACCTTTTTTGGCATCCTCTTCCCCATCATCAAGGCAAAAAGTCCCCATTTTCTACAAACAAATTTAACTCTCCATATGTATCTTGCTACTAAAATTCTCGGTAGCACACCTACAGCTACATGCAATGGTGAATCCCAACTTAAAGTTCATACAAACCATAAAAAGGCAGAGACTTTCCTCATTCGTAGTTCTTAAAAACCCCACAACTGACTATCAAAATCACAACTCCAGATCACAACAAATTTCATAGAAATATTCTAATAGCATGCTAAATTCTGCTCTGTAAAACCTTGGTGTTTGTGTTTTGTTTGGTCTTTCTCTCGGCGTTCGTTGGTTTGGTTTCTCAAAGCATCAGTCACAACATTTTGTTCTCTCTGATTTTGTTATTTATGTTTTTTCCCCTGTTTCTTGGGTGTTTTCATAGATTGTCTGAAAATCTCAAGCAAAATATTTGCATATATAGATATTCGTTTTCTACAAAACCCAGAACACCCATTTCAATAAAACCCAACAAACTTGAAAGAAAAACAGGAAGGAAAAAAAAAGATGAGTTTGTGGAAGCTGGTGACTTGAGATTGTGATGGTTTGGTCGTTTCTTGTGCCTCGAATCCCTGATCGGCGTATCCTCGACGATGAGGCTAGCGAGGAGAAGGGCCCCTTCATCCCAGCCAGCCATGGCCGCCGCTGACCTGAACCCGGGGCTGAGAATGCTATTGGTTTCTTTTGATGGGTTTTTTGGGCTCTTGGTTTCTTCAGATGCCATTGTTGTTTGTTTTTGTTCTTCAGAGGGGAGAGGGGAGTTTTCAAAAGACTTGGTGGGGTCGCCGAAGATGAGGCGGTCTTTGAAGGAGGCAGAGGGGGATTGGGCGGAGGAGGGGGAGGAGGAGATGGGGACGGAGACCTCGTTGTGTTCGGGGAGAGGGCAGAGAGGGGAGGAAGGGGAAGGAAAGGAAATCAGCAGAGAAAAGAAAGGGGGAAGTGCTTCACGCCGCTCCTCGGAAGAAAGAGAAGACAAAATGGGGAATGTGAGAGAGAGAGAGAGAGGGAGAGAGAACGTGGGTTTTCATTAACTGTTAATCAAAGCTTTGACGTGGGTTTTGGTTCTGAAAACGTGCGAATTTGGACGGTTGGGGTGAATTAATTCAATAATGGACGGTTGTGGAGAATTGAGGGGTAAATACAAAAAAATTATAAAATTTACTGTTCATTTTAGCTTTTTTATTGTTCTCCTTTAGTAATAAAGAAGTAGATTTCAACTCATGCCTGGTGAAAACAAGGTCAGCTAGAATTTTGTTTTAATAAAAAAAAACATCAGACTAGTGCTGCTCCTAGTTTTACTTGAACAGCGTCGACGTCGGGCAAAAATCCGGACCGGGTCGGGCCGAACTGGGCAAAAATCCGGACCGGGCCAGGCCGGGCCAGCCCGGCCCGGCCCGGTCACAACGGTCAAGTGACCGTTGTGACCAAAAAAGGTTAAGTGTGCGACGAATTTGCACCAAGAGCTCCTAAAAGGCCAAGATCCGATGTGTGGAATTTTTACGAGAAAATCGACGTCACCAAGGATGAACACGGTAGGATCCTCACCCAGAAGGCTAAGTGTGCGTTGTGTGGCAAGATTTTTTAAGCTCATCATAAGAGCGGTACCAACCACCTCAAACGTCATTTAGATAAACACAACAAAGACCAGACTCCTCAAGGTGATATCTGACAATCTATGATTTCTCAATCCTCCTCTTCTGGTAGTCTCGGTAGTTGGAACTATGACGCTGCCAGAGCCAAGAAATGCGTAATCAGGTTTATCATTCTTAAAAACCTTCCTTTTAAATTAGTAGAAGATGATGAATTTGAAGATATGTTTAGAGATGGTTTTTATCTTGCATTTTAAAAAAATTCTCGTCAAACCTGTCAACGTGATATTTTAAAATATTATCAGGAGGAATAAGGAAAAATAATTTCTTATTTTAAAATTTTAAACTGTAAATTTTCTTTAACTTCTGATATTTGGACATCTAGGTTGCTTATATGCATAATGCTTCTGAACAAAGACTTAAAAGATAGAAACAATTTTGTAAAAGAAAAAATATAAAGCCCAGACTAATTCCAAAAGATGTTGACCATAGGTAGAATTCCACCTATACAATGTTAAGTGTAGCAATAGAATATAAAGACATTATAACTGATTTTATAAATTATTATGCTTCTAGTTCTAGTTCTGGTAGCACTTATGGAATAACTGAAGAAAAATGGACAATTATATGTAATTTAAATGAAATGTTACAAGTTTTTTATGATGCTACAATGTTATTATCTGGCTGTTATTATCCAACCATTACTTTAGCTGCTTTACAAATTTTAAATATTCAAATTTTTTTTGGGAAATATCGTATGGATGATACTTTTGGATCTATGATTTTTTAAATGGAGAGCAAATTTAATAAGTACTTTAGGCCTATTCCTCATATTTTTGATTTGGGGGTTCTTATTGATCCATGCTTGAAGGATATTGGCCTTCGAAGTTTGTTACAATCCTTATATGGTAATCAGATTATAGACTTAGATGATGGAACCACCCTTACTGCTACTACTCATCATTTAGCTATTAGAAATTATTTTTAAACCTTATATGATGAGTATGCAGCTAGACATGATGTAGCTACACAACAGTCTACAGCTTCGGTTTCTTCGAGCTCATCTCGAGGTAAAAGTGTAAGTTTTGATAGGTATGCAATGGTAGCTGAGCTAACTGGTGGATCTGGACTTGGATCGTCATCATTGGAGGTTTTTGAAATAGATGAATATTTATCTGCTTCTTTAGTTAAATGTCAAGAAAATGCTTTAGATATTTTGCAATGGTAGAAAGTATATGGATCAGTTTCATATCATATACTTTCCACCATAATTCATGACTTACTATCAGTGTAGGTTTCGACAGTAGCTTCGAAATCCTCCTTCAGCACAGCAGGTGTGACGCCCCTGGGTTCACACAAGGCTGCAGTCCGAGGTGAAACCAGAAATATCAAACCTGCCATGTACCACACCGTGCAATAACATGTTTCACCATCACAATTTCTATCTCTCTAGCGGAGTCAACAACAGGTGTAGTACAAAGCAAGTAAAATGTTATACAAGAATCAACTGATGAAATAATAAAGATCAAATTAATATTTCAACATCTAATATGTTGGAGTACAAATAAATGTTTGAAATAAATAAACTGGAGTTCTCATCAAGTCTCAAAATACAAAATGTCTGACAAGAGAAAATAAGGCACACAGCCTTTACAACTTCTAGAATAAAACTCTCAAATGTCTAAACAGAAGTCTACAGTGGAGCTCAAAGAAAATATAACTAAAATAGATGGCTGAAGCTAAAGTGCATCGCCGTCAACCTGCGACTCTCCGGGCTCCTGGCTCGTTACCTGAAAGGGGGAGGGACAACGAGCGTCAAAGCGCTAGCGAGCAACATCACAACCAACCCCAAGGGATAGGGCTCGTTGTCTATAAAAATACAGTTAATACATAATAATATAAATCATTTACACAAACATTAATGGGTTTTAGTACTTAGGGAAATACAACACGAGCATAGGTACGTCGAGCGAAATAATCCAAATAAGGAAACCCTCATGTATATACCTTATAACTCAAATTGTAGATCCCTAAATATTAAACCCGAGGTTGGTCATAAGCAATAAATAAAGAAAAGAATACATACTCATCTCTACCAAAAAAAAATGTAAACATGTCAAAGCTACAATAGGTCTCATGCACAACCTAGGTAGCTATCATGTCCCAGCCTAATACAATATATCATGTACCCAATTTGATTACGTGACATGCTCAAGGTTTAGCAAAAATCTAAAACATGATTAAAATGAATTATAGTCCAACACGAGGACTTTAATGGATTATAGTCCAACACGAGGACTTTAATGGATTATAGTCCAACACGAGGACTTTAATGGATTATAGTCCAACAAGAGGACTTTAATGGATTATAGTCCAACACGAGGACTGCGTATAAGAAAAGTATGCATGTGTTATAATAGCAGGAAAGGACTTCATGAGTCGACTCATGACAGTCATGGGTCGACTCATGACTTATGGGTCGATTCGTATATGTTAGACCCTAGAGGAGGGTGATTAGGGTCTTATGCTAATCTAATCCGATTATATGCCAATAAAAACTAATTAACAAGTTATCATATGAGCTAGGATAAGCAATATACAATA